ATTCATATACATACATACATACATAAATATATATACATATACATACATATACATATATGACTATATAAATATATATAGCTTTTTATTTTCCATTTGCTAACACTTCGTAGTACAGCTAGTATTAGATAGTGTGATTGTAAAACTGACTGGTTTCCCAAATGTATCAAGTTCTTTACTGCAGCGCTAGTTTTAGTCCGTTTGCTAACGCTTTGTAGGACAGCTAGTACTAGTTAAGGAGTGTCGGCAAATCGACCCTTGCCGCCCCAAAGCTCGTCCAGCAGGGGATTGAGCTCATCTCGGTAACTGATTGTTATCACATGGCCGTGGCCTGTGAGGTGAACGAAGCGTGCACATCAGATAAATTAGTTCCAAGAGCAGTGCTTGCAATCGGTAAATGGTTCATTAATTAGTGGCGATGATTAGTGGCCTATGAATCGGTGGTATATGAATTATTAATAGTCAATTGATTAGTGGTCGATCAATTAATGACCTATTATTAAATCGGTGGTCTATGAAATATTTATAGGTAATTAAGTAGTGTCCCTATGAACTATTGGTCTATTAATCGGTGGTCTATGAAATATTAATAGGTAATTAATTAGTGGTCAATTGAATAACGAAATCGATTCAGATCATCTCCGCAACTGATTGTTATCACATGACTGCGCCCTGTGTAGTGCACGGAGAGCAGAACAGTTACGAGCGGATACAAGTCTTTCAATTGTTTAGGTGTTTTAGATAGATCAGTCGTAGGGCCTTAGAGATTTAGAGGGTTAGGGTATCTATAGACATACTAACCGTCAATTATACGAATCAAATCCATTTCATCTGTACTCACAGATAAATTACCTTGTCTCCGGAGACTGCCCAAATACACGATTCAGCTAATATTCAGGTCTGCCATCACGGTATAAGACCATTAACGCCATACTGACTAACTACGAGTATATATCGAGGTGTGTATACGCCATTGCACACTCGCCTGTGCGTATGCCCGTGTGTGAAACGTAGCCATTTGGGAGAGAGTTAGGGCAACACATTATTCGTTACAAAAATAATCACGCATCGCAGTACTGAGCCGTGCCATCCATGTATGGTCCAGCATCCGAGTAAGCTCATCGTTGCAACTGACGCGGATGAAGTGACCTGTGCTGTGACCTGCACAGAGATGTTCGTTATTTGTCTACCCATTGTCTGTGTTCTAGTTGTATTTGGCATGATATAATTTAGCGTTGGGTGTATATGGCTGCTGGTTGGTTACAACCCTAATTGTGGGTCCTACTTGTATCCAGTCTGTTTTTTGTATGCATGTGTATGACGTGGCATACCTTGGCTTAAATGGAAGTTCCGCCGATATGATAGGCTACATGTATGGCAATACTATGGAAAGCATTCAGAACAAACCATATCGTGGCATACTTTGGATTTGTTTTAGGGTTTAGGGGTTTTCCAATACAAACTATATCGTAACATACCTTGGATATGTTTTAGGGGTTTAGGGGTTTCTCAATACAAACTATATCGTAGCGTACTTTGAATAAGTTTAAGGGAGTAACTTTCTTAATACAGATACATTGTAACATTCCTTGGACCTCGACGTATTTTAAACATCGAGGTGATAAGCTAAATATATTGGTATTCATATGGAAGACAAGTAACACAGTGTATTCTGACAAAATAACCCCCCCCAAAAAAAAAACACTCATAATTGACCAAAACTACACTGTCACATTCAATACAAACTATGTCGTAACATACCTTGAACCTCAACGTATGTGGCCCCGATGTGATCGGCAATGTATTTGGAATTGGTATGGCGAACAAGGTTGTCTTCAGTTCCGACAACTACTAATTTTTTGAATTTCATCGCCCCGATTTTTCTGAGTCGATCGGCAGTCACGCCGTGCGAAGCAACAGCGCTGACGCGAGGGAGAGAGAAAACGGAATTACTCAATACGTATGTTCTATGAGAGGATCCGCACTAGAAAATATATACTCAGTCAGTTGACGTTGTATGATACATAAAACGTTTTGCTAGCGTAGACTCACAATTATGTTGGGATACTAGCGAGGTCGCGTCAACTCCTCCGCTGACGATACAAATCGCAGCCACCAACAACACACACTGGGCTGTTAGCGCGTGACCAGAATACACACTGCGCCACAGGTGCATATGCTGTAGTTCACAGCACTATACTTACGCCATCTGTCCCGTCATGCCGTTTCTCGTAATGGGGAAGTCCTTCTTGATCTGGATCATACGAGTGTGATATTCTCTCGCCAGTTCCATAGACACGGGGTCGTTCCTGCAGATGATTTAAAGTCGAGCAGGGAGGTTCTAAGTCAATATGAAAGGCAAGTGTATGAAAGGTAGATGTCCGTCGGTTCCCATACTGTTTCAGCTGACGCATATGCAGATATATCCATATTTCCATATATAACTAT